TTAATGACAGAATTTTTATTTTTGGGTGAACTATCCCTTTAACTCTCATCTGGTGCTCGAGACATATGTCTCACTGAGGTTTAGGATGTGTGTGAATATTTGGCATTGAGGCACAGAGCTGCGGTGGCCTCAGATGAACCGTGCTGAGTCAAGTGATCAAATCTGAAACTCAGATCGATGAATGAACGTGGATGCCTCTCTCTTCTACCAGTCACCATGTTCATATGTGAAAACTGTGAGTTTTATTATTTATTAATTAATTTATTTATTTTATTCACATATTTAATTGTGATAATTGCTTTTGAACAGTGAGAAGTTTTCATGTTCATTTTTAAATTTAAGACTGAAAGTAAATTTTTTAGGATTATTAGCATTATTTTGCTAATATCTGAAGAGAACAGGAGAGAAGAGAATGCTTGTAGAGCACAATGTTATATGAATTAATGAGATTGTGTTTGTGTGTTTCTCTGTGTTTTACAGGCTAGCGCTCTACGTGTACGAGTACTTGTTACATGTAGGAGCCCAGAAGTCGGCACAGACCTTCCTGTCAGAGGTGAGCTAGCGGGGGGTTTTATTTAAGCTCCTGCTTATCGATGTGCCTTCCAGGCACACGGCCTCGTAAGCATTGGCCCGCCCCCCTGGGGCTCCGGCTAATTTAATTACACGCAGATGATATGCTGAGCAAGCAGGACACATTAGATGTTTGGTGTCCACTTAATGGGATTGGAGGAAAGTCAGGGCATCGCTGTAAAAACGGCCATATTGTTTCAGCAGAGAGGCTGGAGCGGTGCTGGCATGTTGATCATCACCTCGTCCCGCTTTTTATGAAGAAAAGCGCATGTTTGCTTTGTTATATCAGCTGCTCACGATCCTGTGTTTTATTTGCGATGTAAGGCTTTTAAGGAAGATCACAATCATTTATGCCTGAATGAGTTCTTTTCAATGTCACTGAGGCATTGTGGGATTGGTCTATGTGAAGGAAACCATGACATTTCAAAGCACAACTTCGATATTTATAGTCTCACCATTATTTGCATATGAGTCATACACACTTAAGAGTACAAGCCATCTGAGAAAATACAATAATACACATTTAGCACACCATTTCTGATTGTCGTACTAATTCCAAAGCTGTGCCTATCACAAGAATGGCAGGCACTTCCAAGTCACCAGATATATTCAGATTTGCAAGGTTAACTTGTCCACACGTATCAGACTAGACTATTTTAAGTTAGCTACTTTGTATCTAGAAATGAGAAGTGTGTTTAAAAGCACAAAATAAAACAACAAGTTTGGTCCAGTTTATACACTTATATACACTTGAACTAGTTCGGCACTAGTGGTTGAATGTAGTTGAAATTATTATTTTTATTCAGAAAAAGGACACACTGAATTGATTGAAAGTGACAGTAAATTTCAAATAAATGCTGTTTTGAATTTTCTTTCATCAAAGAATCCTGAAAAAAGTATCACGGTTTCCACAAACATATTAAGCAGCATAACTGTTCCAACATTGAGAATATTAAATATTTTGAGCAGCAAATCAGCATATTAGAAGGATTTCTGAAGGATTTCGGAAGGATATATTCTAATAGGAAACAGTTATTTTAAATTGTAAAAAAATATTTCACAATATTGCTGTTTTTACAGTATTTTTGATTAAATAAATGCAGCCTTGGTGATCAGAAAAGACTTCTTGACCCCAACTTCTGAACAGTATTTTTGGTTAAAAATCTAGAAATTTAAATCCCATTTAATCCTGGAAATAAACAAAGTTTTAGGATTTTTAAAGTTTTCAAACAAAGTTATGAAGTAAAATTAAGAATACATATTTAAGATACCACACTATTTTTAGGTTACTAATCAAATAGTAAAAAATTATGATTTACTTTCTTTCTTTTATTTATTTATTTTTTTACTATTTTTATTTCAAATTATTATTGCTGATAGTATAATTTGTTTTAAATTTGAACTGAGTTGGTATGCATTTGGACTCCACTGTGTTGCTAAAATTAAATTAAACACAGATTTGTGGACTCAAATTAAACTCGCCAAATATAGACCAATTAATTAGCTTGGCTGACTACAAAACACATTATGGTGGACATTTAGCCTACTGAAGGGGAAATAGTCTTACTGTGAATTGAGTCTTACAGTTTCTCACCTCTCTATCCAGATAAGATGGGAGAAGAACATAACGTTAGGAGAACCTCCAGGATTCTTACATTCATGGTGGTGGTAAGATTCACATTGTTAAATGTTTCTCATGTGCTGATGTGTTATTCATGGCAACTGCTTCATTCACCTCTGTGTGATTTGCAGTGTATTCTGGGATTTATATTGTGCGGCACCTGAAAGGAGAGAAACCTGTGAGCATTCCAGTGAAGCCAAGGCGTTCCACGACTACGTAAGTTACTCTTACAGTGCATGGATGGATAAATGTGTGGCATAGTAGTTAAAGCTCAGAGCCGGGACGGACGGATAGATGGATGGAATGCTGGAAAGTTAGAATACTAGAAAGATAGATGCATGGATAGATGGATAGAAGACTGGATGGATGGATGGACAGAATGCTAGAAAAAGATGGATGGATGATAGATGGATAGAATGCTAAATAGAACACTAGAAAAATGGATAGATAGATAGATAGATAGATCACAAGAAAGATGGAAGGATGAATGGATGGATGGTTGGATGGATAAAACACTACAAAGATGGATGGATAGATTGATAGAACACTAAAAAGTTAGATCGATGATGGATGGTTCGAATGCTAGAAAGATAGATAGAGAGATGAATGAATGATAGATGGTTGTTAGATGGATAGAATGCTAGAAAGATGGATGGATGGAATGCTAGAAAGATGAATGGATGATGAATGGATAGATGGATGGATAGAACTATGAGAAAAATGAATGGATGGATAGATGCATAAAACACTAGAAAGATAGAACACTAGAAAGACGGATGGATGGATGGATGATAGAACACTAAACAAACTGATGGATGCATAAATAGATGGATAAAATGCTAGAAAGATAGAACACTAGAAAGATGAATGGATAAAACGCTAGAAAGACAGAACACTAGAAAAATGGACGGATGTATAAAATGCTAGAAAGATGAATGGATGATGGATAAAGGGATAGAATGCTAGAAAGATGGATGGATAAAACGCTAGAAAGACCGCACACTATAAAGATGGATAGATGGATATAACACTAGAAAGATAGATGAAGAGATGGATGGATGGATGATGAATGGATAGAAAATGGATGGATAGCACACTAGAAAGATGAGGGGTGGATGGATGGATGAATGGACAGATGGATAGAATGCTAGATGGAGAGATGGCTGGATATATGAACTTTGACCAAGCGGATGTTTATCAGCTCATTTGAGATTTGCAACACAATGCAAATGGTATTTCCCATGAGGCCTCAGTGCATCAGTGCAGTGATGTTGTGGCTTCATTCTGTGCATTGCAGTGTTCTGAGTAAGACCAAATGCTGCTGGGACTTACAGGAAGGAAGCGTGATTCAATTTCCTGTGTACCTCGGGCTGCTGGTCACTTTACGTCTCGTAAACAAGAGAGCAGAGGAGCTCAAGTTTTCCTCGTGTCACCTCGGAGGGTGATGTAAACGTTCAATTATAGACCCGACTGCTTTCACCCAAACGCGCTGTCTACTGTCTGCTGTTGTGTGCACCTCAAAAGCGCAGTTTAGGAGATGAGTAAAGAGCGCAGCAATGCTGAAGATCACTGGTTTGGCCCCGAACTCATTTCTCTTTCCAGCACCAATTAGCTGAATTTCCTCTGAGAGCGTCTGGAGTGTAGGCACAACACGAGTAATTACAGAGAGCTCGAGATCCTCAAACGAGAACATCTCCGTCCCATACATCGCCTGCTTTCTGTGACTAATTGCCAATGTACAGCAAATGCGCTTTACAGCTGTGATGCACCATATCACATGACTACGGTTTTAAAAACTCAAAATTGATGAAGTTTGCTTTATAAATACGCATTTCTGTTTTTTTATTGTTAATGATTCAGCATTAGTGCACATTACTCCTAAAGAAAAATAGTTGTTGTTTTTTTTTATCAAAATGTAAAGGCTTTTCGTATGATGTTATAAATCCTTTTTCTGACTCTATACTCTATGCTCAGACTCTATGCTCTTATTATAATACCTAATAGACTTTTTACAGTTCATATACACCCGGCCACTACTTTTCAAAAGTTTGGTTTCTGTAGTTAGACACACACACACAAAATACAGTAAAAACAATAATACTGTGAAATATTATTTCAATTTAAAATTTGCTGCTCAAAAAACATTTATTATTATTATCAGTGTTGAAAATATTTAATAATTTTTTGGAAACTAGGATTATTTTATGACATTTGTTTTTTTTTGGAAATAGACATTTTTGTAGCAATATAAATATATTTACCGTCACTTTTGATCAATTTAATTCATCCTTGCTAAATAAAAGTTTTTTTTTGTTTTTTTTTTACAAAAAAATAATCTTACTGACCCCAAACTTTTGAACAGTAGTGTAATTGTCAGTAGTGCTGTCATGATTATGAAATTTGGCTGACGATTAATTGTCTAAAAATAGTCACGTTATCACGATTAATTGTCTGTTTTTATGACTTTCATTATATAATTGATTAATTTAAGGGTTCAGTAAATAATTATGATGTTATCTTTTAATCTTTTCGAGTTACTATTTTGCAGTGTAAGATTACATAGAGTATTCCAAATTCCAGCGCTATTTTTTTTCTACACCACTACAGAATATCAATACTGTGTTTGTGGAACTAATGGTCACTCTTTTAAACCCTTTGTTAAACGCAATCCACTAAATACTCACTTCCTCATTACAGAGAAAAA